TAAAGCAAACTAAAACACAACAAGAATACAGCTATGGCTGGTATGCTTGCCGGAGTTGAGTGTGCTAGGAGGCGGCGATTCCACGGCGGTGCTCCACCGATTGAGTTATCCAACACGGCTTCTGCGGCGGCAGCGGCTGGACATGTCTGGACTCGGCGACCATCGTTCTCTCTCTACACTACCAATCACGAGAGCCACCAGGCCCATGTCTCTTTCTCGGTAACGTAACGTTTAAAATAAAATAAAAATGTTAAAACATTTTCTTGGGAAAGATTGAAATTCTAAAATTACTTAAATTATAGGAAAGAATTGTTCGGAACAAATCTTTTGGTGAAGATAACGATGAGAAGCTTGAAGGAGCAGCCAAAGTGGCGAAGGAGAGGCTGGACGAGCGGCTGAGAAACCCACGCAAAAGGTTCGATTTGGTTATAACGGCGTATGATAGTGAATCCAACTCGTAATTTATTCACCTTAAAATGCGCCCGAACAAGCTCAAGCCATTCGCTCTATAATCTATTTCATGATGATGTATGATATTATTCAAAACATGTGGTATTCACATGGTCATATAATTGAGAGATTGCCTTTTGTCGGGAAAACTATTTTATCTCTTTAGTGTTAACCCCACGTTCTGTTTGGCAGGCGCATTTTAGCAAGTGCACTATATTTAATGTTAAAGTTACGTCTCTTTTGTTTAGTAGTGGAAACTAACCGGAAACCACTAGGAAGCTTCCTAGACCACCAAATCTGACATTTCTATCTCTTGATTTTTGCTTTGACTTTTCAAGTTCAGGCAAAATGGTAAAGAAAAAGTGATTAAATCGGAGCAATGGAAAGGTAAAGGTAAACCTCATGGGGAGTTACCAACAGAGGTAGTGGGATTAAAGAAGAGCGGAGGAAGACTGATCGAATGGTTCGGGTTGCGAGTCAGAGAACAAGAAGATTGCGCTATATGTCTAGACCGGTTCAAGACGGGTGAGACATTGGTAAACCTACCGTGTGCCCATAAATTTCATTCCATATGCTTATTGCCTTGGCTAGACACCAATGTGCATTGTCCTTATTGTAGAACGGATATTTGGAATTAATTGAATGTAATATTTCTTGTTTATGAGTAAGTTTTGTGTTTAGGATTTAAAACGTAAATTAAATACCACCGATCGATTCAGAAGTCTCAAATCCTACACATTCCTTTACAAGCATTTTTTTCATCCATCTCTTTTTTATTTTTTTGATAATCTTTTTAATCCATCTCGATTATAAAAAAAAAGGAGCATGAAAGCAAAGAGAGCTCGTGGAGACGAATCGCGAATTCGTGATAAAGAAAAAAAAATTGGAAGCAAAGAAGAAGTGGAATTGTGATTAGAAAATGGATTTTTTTCTATTCCATAACCTCCTTTTTGTATTCAATTGTATGTTTATTATATTTACTGAAATAACACTAATTTTACTATTTACTAGGTGATTCGCCTGCGTACACGCGGGTAAACTATTTACAATTTTGGCTTTAGTTTTACAATTCAAAAAAGTGAAAATGTATA